TTCTTTATTTAACCAGAGTTAAGTATTAAAAACAAATAAAAACATTAATGAGTGAATATGAATGGATTAATTCAAGACAAACATATTCAATGCATTATGATTAATATTAAAAAATAAGCATGTTTTGCATACAAGAAAGTCCTGAACCAAACAAGAAAGTTTACAAATGATAGTGCAAATGTAATTTTAAATTTCCATGTTAAGGAGACTAGTCTCCGTATGGAATTGTTGCTTCAGAAGATACTCTAGAAGTCTTGACATTCACTGCGTCATAGGAGAATTCAATTAATGTGCAGGCCCTCTGGGGTGAACGCGATTGCTTTGGAATCAATGAGCTTCTGAACTTTGCCTTTGAAAACATTACAAACTTTGATCGTGTGGCCAGGTGCCCCAGAATGGAATTCACAGTATGCATCAAGGTCATATCCCAAAGGATAAGGGAAAGGAAGAGGCTCGTGCTCCTTTAACTCCACTAAATAATGTTGAAGTAAGTGCGAGAGCAATTCACTACGAGGCATAGGAATTGGATCATGTACTTTTCTTGGCCTTATCAGATTCTTCCTAACTCATTGTTGATGGTTCTATCGATATTTCCGCTTCTGAGGAGCATATTGTTGTTGCTGAGCATTCTAATTAGGGACCATAACTAAAGTACAAACAAGAGCTTCCTTTTCGTCTTCAGAAACATCACTTGTTTCGCCTTCGAAAATAGTAACATCATGGATTTTACCATTCTTAAGACCGTGCTCAATTCGTTCTTCTATTACAATCATTTTTGAAAACTCAGAAGCACATTCAACCGTTAGATAAGGATCTTTCAGAGTATCTAAGAACATATCAACGAGTTCTCACTCTAAAAGGCGAGGTTGAACTTTGGCAGCTAATTCTCTTCATCTTTGTGCATACTGTTTGAATGATTCTCTTCCCTCTGAGTCAAACCTTGGAGTTGAATTCTGGTGGGAGCCATGTTGTTGTTATAATTGTACTGCTTGAAAAATGCTTCAGCTAATTATTTCCAAGTTCAGATGTTAGTTCTTTCAAGCTGAGTATACCACTCAAGAGATGCTACACTGAGGCTATCCTAAAAGAAGTACATTAGAAGATTGTCATTTTCCGCATAAGGAGCCATCTTGTTGCAATAGGCCTTCATGTGAGTCAGCGGACAAGTGGTACCCTTATACTTCTCAAAAGTGGGGACTTTGAACTTAGTAGGAATATTGATACTAGACACTAGGCTTAAACTAGCAGTGTCTAAACCAAGGGAGTTACGACCCTCCATAGCTTTCATCATCTCCTCCAGGAGGTGAAGCTTTTTCTCAGTTTTAGTCTCATCAATCAGGAACCTGAATGTGTCAAATGACCCATTGGAAATATCCTCACAGCATGGAGCTTCATTGACAAGAATTTGAGTGGTATTTATGGCATTCTGATTCAAAATAAATCTCCTCAATTAAGATCAACAACTGGTGGATTAACATAATCAGCAATAACAACTGTGGGCCCCTGAACATCCTGCCTCAACTCTTCTTGTCCATGAGCAATGTTCTCAACAACTTCCACGAACTGACCTATCTGGGTCTTCCACTGTATGTTCATCGCAACCATATCTGCTTGTAACTGCTCCATGATAAGCCTCGAATGTCGGGAAATTAGTTTTGCAGTCTTGAGATTTTGAATAAGATGTCCATGTTGTTGTGAGTATCCAGGCTGAAATGAATGAAATGCATGAGAATTCAGGGGTGATAAGAGAAATAAACTCTTATAATGATGGATGTAATGCAACACCATAGGTTCAAAAGTTCAGCATAACAACTGTATAATCTGCTAGATAACCTGAATATCGCAGGACCAAAGGTTCGGCACCAATTCGCAGTACCAAGAAACCAAGTCTTAATATCATAAGATCAAACTTTCAGAACATAATCAAAAGAACCACATAGTCACCAGATCAGAAATCCAGAACATATAGTCACCATCAGAACATATAGTCACCATCAGAACATATAGTCACCATTTGTACCTGTAAGAAATATTTCTTCCCTACTCACGGGTCAAGACTATGCTAAGGTAAGGTCAATGGTAACCCAGAATCACAGGTTCGCCTGAAAGCACTACTATCAAGCCACAAACATGGATGACGATAACACCCCATTTGAAACTCATCTGAGCGTAGACGACATAACCGCGCCGGTAGGACCTTCGTCCAATAGCCGTCATGTTCTACTTTATTCCTAGGTTTTCTAGATAGTGCACTCTAGCCTGGGTACTGGGCCTTTTACCTCAATAGTAACGCTCACCCAACATGGAGAATCAGAATCCAAACATTAGATAACCAATATGGAAGGCAATAAAATGCAATGCAAACATATGCTCAGATAATCATGTACAAATGAATAAACTTAAACCATAAAAATAAACACCCAAAGAAAAGAAAACAAGAGCTAGAAAACGATTATGGGACGGACCAACATTTGGCCTACCGTTTCCCCAGTGAATTCGCCAGCTGAAACAACTGGATGAATAAATCATAGAGATTAAATCAATGAAGTCGGCATAGAAATCTACGGTATCCACTCTTGTTGTTCTAATCAAAGGGTGTGTTTCGAAACTAAGCTTAAGATATAAAAGAAAGGCAAAGAGGGAATGCATGCAAAAGAAAACAAAAAATAATGTAGGGAAAATAAAGTTGTGCTCGCTCTGGCCCTACCCCAATACCTACGTATCCTTTTTGAGGAATCAGAGTTACCGTAGTTCGGCTCACTTGTTTTGGTTTGTTTGTGTTTTTTAATTATACAATGTTAAATTCAATCATTTGACCACTGCTCGACCTTTGGATACTTACAACCTGTAGTGGAAAGGAACTCACATGCTCTTAGAAGAGAAAAGTCGATTAGGAAAAAGGAAAGGAGTTGGTTAGTGTTTTTTACCTTAAGAAAGGATTTAAGTTGTTAGAGAGTGTTTTTATTAGTTTAAGGAAAAAGAAAGTTTTAGTTTTAAAGTCAAGGATGCAAAAGAAAGAAAACATCTAAGGGAGACCATCTAGAATCTAATCCCTAATGTTATCATACAGTGATAGCCCTATGTCAAGGATAAAAGGGGGAATATCTATCTATGTTATCATGCACAGATTACTATCCTAAGGTCTAGCTTGCATAGAGAAAGAAACAAGCACATCCTAAGGGAGCATGGTATATATAAAGCAAGCAAGCAAAGGAAGCACATACATGGAGATAATAGTGTATCCCAAACAAGAAAATAGAGCACACACATGGCGAGAGTAATGCGTCTCAAAGTAGCAAGCTCAAACAAAAGGGAGCACATACATGGCGGGAGTAGTGCACGCTAGATCAAGCAAAATGGCCTAACCAAGATATCCCGAATCGAGGTAGTTAAAAGAAAAATGAAGAGAAATGCGTTAGCTAAGGGGAGTGGATCACCCGAAGCAAACAAGGGAGAGAGATGAAATAAGAAAATAATAGAAATTCTTTAGCTAAGGGGAGCAGATCACGCGAAACAAACAAGCGGGTAGCGGCATGTCGACATTGGCCATTGCGAACTCCTGACAAAGTTTGGGGAATCGATTACAAATCCCTTTTCCATATGACCGAATCGATACAAAAGATAGGAAAACCAAAGCGTCAACATACAACGTGATCTAAGGATGACACATTCTAGAATGCACGAGGGTTGGATTTTAACCCTTTCCACTCGCCTCCTTTTGAGGACTTATCATTTGTAGTATATGCGAGCACAAATATAAACACGCATGCAGATACCTACTTCAAAGGTAGGGTTTTAAACAAACACAAATAACACACAAATGCATATAATGCGGAATCTCCCTAAACGGGTCTTTAAATAAACCATAGGGGTTCCTGACATGATCAGCAATGGAGACCCCCGTCATACATCTCTATCCCTACTTCTCATGGCATGGAAAGTGGTAAAATTTCTACTTGACATGATCTCTAGAAAGCATTAAAATGTGAAAATGAAGAATGAATTCACGATGATACCTAACGGGGTAGGTCCGTTGCCTCTTCAAAGCTACGCAAGCAAAGAAGAGAAATCCGAAAAACTTCAAGTAAGCTAACGGAGAAAGTCTGTTGCCTCTTCGACGTGCACAAAAGCTCAAGCAATATGTCACAAGCTCCACCAATGATCAACCAAATTGATCCTCAAGCACTCATTATCACAAATCAACTAATGGAAAAGGTCTATTGCATCTTCAAAGCCTCACAAGCAATGAGAAAACTCTATTGAAAGCCTTTTTGAATTTTTTCTCAATGGAGCTTGCACTCTTAGTTTGCCTCGAAACTTCTTGAACCCAAGTCTCTTTTTATGCTGGCACTAAAATCTACAAAAAAAAAAGACTAAAATAACAAAAAAAGTTAAAAAAACAAATTGAAATTTTATTCTAATATTTTTTTGCATTTTTATCATGTAAACAAGTGAGCAAAAATCAAGTAGAAATATCACACAAAAAATAGACAAAATTGAAACAAAAACTAAAAGATCAATTAATCAACAAAAGAAAGTACAAGAGGATGCTCCAAGGGGTGAAAATTGCAATCAGAGAGTGGTGAATACCATCAGGGTGCTAGGTCCACACATGCAGAATCCAGCAAAAGGTTTTTGTTTTGTCAATGGCACCAAAAATAAGAACAAGAGGGCTTATGAGGTGCAAGCTCGGTCCACTTCAATCACAAGGATCTAGTCTTTGTTTATCTCGACAAATTTGTACTATTAATATTGAAAAGAAACAAAAAATAAATTGAAAAAATTATAGAACCAGAAACGATGGTGTTTGGATTGAATTAGGGTTATAACATTTGTGACTCTTGAGCTTCTTTGAGGAACAAATTCTTCTTCCCTCTTCCAAATTGCAGCGGCGCTGTTCCCTTCTTTGTCTCTGATTGCCCTGTCTCCATATACAACCATTCCTCGTCCTATGATTACGAGGCTCCGCTCGCCTCTATCATCAACCTTTCTAGGTGACTATGTCTCTCCTGTCTCACTTCTGCTCGCGATTTCGTCCATCTTCACTCTCACTTCTCGTGAACTACACGACGACCTCCAGTGATCTACGCTCTCTTTTTGCCACGCTTCTTTATAGAACTCAAAATTCAAAGAAAAAACAAGAAAAAAGATTAGGATACAGGATTTACCGAATGGAGTTTGTCTGGTGCAACTTCACGACGAGGACGATGATAACAACAACAGAGCACAAGCTTCTTTAAGAATTCAGGTTCGTTCTCGTTTTACAATACCTCTTCTCTTCTTCTAAGATTTTTTCTTCGATTGCGCCGATGCTATTGAAGTTGTTGCATTTAGATTTGTGTTATTGTAGTGATGAAGATGTACAAAGAGTTGTTGAGAGATTTGGTTATGGTGATGATGAAGTGCAGTAGTTGTTACAAATTATTCTGTGAGTTCTGATGTTGTTATTTTCAGAGAGTAGAAGCTGGATGAAGAAGAAGATGAATATGAATGTATAGTAAATATGTTGTTATTGAAGGGAGAAGAGAAGGTGCAAAGGTTCAGAAAATGGATTAAGATGGAGGAGTGAAGGAATTGAAGAATGGTGGTCAACTAGGGAGAGAAAGTGCATAGAAGATTGAAGAAGAATGCATAGAGAAGATGAGGGCTCTTTTTTTATTATTCTTCGAACGATTGAAGAATAAATAGATTCAAGGTAAGTTTTCTGGTTTTATTTTGTTTGTAATGTAAAAGTTGGTTAGAGTTGAATTAATCTTGAACCATTGGATCTAAGTTTCTGTTATTGAATGTAGGATTTATATGAGATATGTTAAAAGGTTAGTTATGATTATGTTATGGAAATTAGTTGTTGTTTGAGTTATTTATAGGCTAGGCTTAGTGTAGTTTTCAGTTATGAGCTCATTACTGGAAATGTTAGCTGTCAGTTATAGGTGGTTATAGGATGAAAAAAAAGATTGAGTGTTAGATAAAATATGTTAGAATGTTCATAAGGTGCTAGAAACCGTGTTAGTAAAGCTGCTAGAGGCTATTATTCAAGATAGTTAAGAGGTTAATTGAAAAATGGTTAGGAGGTCCTGGAAATGGAAATTGAAAGTCATGTTACTGACAGCTCACTGTTATCTATTACACTGAATGCTAAATCTATTTAGCAAAAGAAGGGTTGGAAAATGTTTGTGAATTTGTAAGTTAATGTTAGAATTAACCCTGTTAGTAGGTTGGTTGAAAGATGTGAAAGTTAATTGGAGGTCCTGTTTGAATAGTTATGAACTGTTAAATTCTGAATGTGCAGAGCTGTATTTAACTGAATCATGTGAACTGTTTCACGAAGGTACGCAATGTTCACCGGGTTTTTGTGGACTGATCTTATGTGCAGGTTTGGTTTTGTTCGAAAGCAAGGCATGGATCAGAATTGTACTAGGCTAGTTGTTGATGGATGTATGGCTGCATTATGTATGCGATTTGAGCAAGAAGCTGGGATGCTTATGGTGTGCAGGCAGTTCATCTGTTAATTGACCCTCGGAGCTTGAAGAGAATCATGGAAATTGGTTGAAGAATAAAAATTAGGAATATGTTTAGGAGTAAAGAAAACATAGGTTTAAAACATAGTGAATTTTTGTGTATTTTTGGTATGATGTAATGTATTCGAACCTTGAATGAACTTGAATGGTGATAAATATTTGTAAAAACATGATGATGATTTGTACTTGAAATTTGGAATTTGATGAATGATGTAGTTTTGTAATAATGTAATTCGAACTTGTATTGACAACTTTGAGTTCTATACAATCCACAAGCATGGACTTTGCAAACCTTCAATGTTGATCCATTTGAAAAACTTGCATCAAAGAAACACTTGAAGGATCTTTGAATGGAATTGGAGTGAATGAGAAATGTCTTACAATTTTAAGGTCCTTTTGTAAATTGATCTTGAAATAATGTCTTGAAAATTGAATGAGTTTGAATGGAATTGAATCCATGATGAACCTTGAATAAGGAAGCGGTCTCTAAAACTTGCAATTTGAACTTCAAGCATTAACCATGAATAAATCTTCCACTGTTAGCATAATGCTTAAGCCATTGATTCATTTGAAACAATTTCGAGTATAAAACACTAATGAATCCAAATCCCATCTTTCTTCTTAAGGAACCTTAATCTAATGATCTTTTGAATAAATTTTGGACCCATGGCAATAGTCAGCTGAATGATGAATTCCACTTAAACTAAAGTTCCAAACCAGCTTGTATTTGCAAACCATTGAGAACAACCAAGCTTTAATAATAACGAATCTCTCGACTAAAATCTTGTATCATATCCTCAGTCCTCAATGGCCAATTATCTCAGCACCAAAGAATGTCTTGGAGAAACCTTGAAGACAAACATGGAAACATTGAAGCAATATTCCTAAGATGTCCTTGAAATGATAATCTAATGACTCCTAAGTTGAATCACAAGTATTAAAACCCTAATATTGTAATGCTTGGAAAAGAAAACCTGACCACTTGTCGTTAAGAAGAAGGAATAGCCTTATAGCTCAATGAGAAAGAGACCTTCAATTAACCATGGATCACAACCCTAATCCCACTGCTCAATGCTTGAAGAAGAAATTAGCCTTTATTGGATACGAATGCCTTAACCACTGTAAAACCCTAATACTGCACGACAACTAAACTTTAAACTTCAGGCGCTTTATTGAATGCAATGTTATGTTAATGGCCTAATGGAATATATGCAGATGAATGCAAAAGTCTAAGCCAGATAGCGGGACAATTAGGAAGGAAAATTTTGGGGTACAACACAAGGTCCTACTACAAGGCTTAACTCTATGAGGACATGAAGATACTGCTTGGGAATAACCAGAGCATAATCTTCTAAAATCAATAATCCACTGAGGGGATAAAATTATGAACTCTACTTTAAGGGAATGGAAAGATCCCTTGAGGAAATACAATACAAATATTCCAACTCTTCTAGGGAAATAACAAATACACAAACTCTGCTACAGGAAGATATAAACTTATTAGCGATACATAAAACAAAAACTTCAAAGAGTAATAACCTATGAGAGAGATAACACTTGTATCATCTCTTCAAAGGGGAAAAGATGGAACTATTGAGGATCAAAACCACAAAATATTCTATACATCCATGAGTAACAACTTCACCAACTCTGTTGAGGAAAGATGAATATCTGCTAAGGATATATGAAGCCAAACTCTTTAGGGATTAACATTATTTGTAAGGGAATATCATCCTGGACCTAGAGGGAAATTAAGAAATCAACAACACAACAGAAAGCCAAACTCTGGGGGATTTTAATTCAGAACTCAACACAAGGTGAGAGAAAACCTATAATTGACTGCTGCCTCAACAATCTCAGAAAAGGAATACTGCCCTGGACTTGTTGCTGGGTGTAGCGGTAGAAATGTTGAGACTAAGCCATGGGAATAACTTAACTTGTACAGATCAAATAAAATTTTCCACCGCGCTTTAATGTTTCCAAAGGAAATGGGAAAACGTCGAATAAACGCAAAAAAGTAAGAGAGAATCTAGGTACGGGGATTAGTTATGCAAAGGGAAGGTATTAACACCCTAAACATTTACAGTATTCCGTAGGAACGTCTTTGAAAATCTGTGTATTTTGGCTATAAAAGGTGTATATAAAAAAATGGTGGAGATGAGAAAAGAAGTATTTTTTTACAATTTTTGCACCCGCCGCAGTTGTGAACCTTTTTGTGCCTACATACCCCCTTCGTGCAATAGAGGATCAGGGTACTCGTACATCACCTCAAAAAATTTAAAACACATGTGTGCTGGTTTATTTTAAGTGAAGAGACATCATCGTCATATTCGAGTGGATAACATACTTACTGCCCACAATTATGAGAAAGGAGCATTTGCGTTATCTCAAAGTGGAGGACATAGCTTGGATTTAAAATCAGCAAGACATCACTCAACACCCAAGTGGAAAATGTCTGACTTTACTACATATCCTAGAAGTATAGTAGCTTGCATAACTACAAGAATCAGCAAGAGTCTAATCTTTTTAGAATTTTTTTTTTAATTAAAAAGCCAATGCGGTAAAAAATGGTTTGAGTGAGATTGTTGAATTTTAGTCTTGAAAAAGATGTCAAAGTATGATTTAAGTGATTAAAGGTTTGATTGAGAAAAAGAATTTGAAAATGCATGGACCTGAGTCCAAGTTTACTATGAAAGTGGTTCAAGTTTGAAAACAAGAAGAGTTTTAAAAAAGGGAGAATATTTTGAAAATTAAAGAAGATGGGGGGAGATGAAGAGAATATCCTATGTACAAAAAGTAAAAGCTAAGGAGAAGAACAGTCTAACCAACAAGAAGCCGACACTTGACATAAAGAAGTCAATGTAGAATTCCCATCCTTTGGATTAAAACAAAGCAATCAAAATACTAAACCTCAAATGAATACCAAGCTTCAGATGAATAAAGAACCAAACAAAGTCTCCAAGTAAAATTGGCCATAGCAATAACTATATACATAGGAATTCCCAATCACAGAAAAATCATAGAAATTAAAATAACACGCACATTGAAAAAAATTCAAACCAACGCCTTGGAGTAAACCCCAAGGACTTCAGAAAAACTTCACAAAAATATCACAGTAAAAATTAGAGTTTCAAATTCTAAAGGTTTCTAATCCTACATCTTCAAGAATCCACAACTCGACAAGGCTAGGATAGTAACTAGATAGTCCAAGTAGCTTTAAGGTTTTTATGTTCAAGTTGATTATTCAGTTTATTTACAAAAGAAAATAAATCTCAAGTGAGCAAAGATAAAAAAACAGAAAGTAAATACTCAAGTGAGCAAAAGGAAAATAGCATGAGATGTAAATGCTAAAGGTAAATGACATAAATTAAAGACATAAGATAAATGTATATAGTAAAAGCATAAAATAAAGTCAATGGTTAAAACTTAGTTATTAATAGTTGAGGGTTAAATGTGTTTTAGAAGTTAGTGATTAATAGTCAATAGGAAAATATCATCTTTGGGTTTACAAACACTAGGTTTGAACCACTAAGAATCAGTCAAATAAAAGATGAAAAAGAAAGGATTTCAAATGATATGTTACATTATGGTTTGAGTCTTAAACATAGGTAAAAGTTAATGAAGACTCATTTGAGGATTGATACAATCAAAGCCTCCTAACAATGAGCCATCAAGGTTATTGGCCATAGCTCAACACTTAACCATACTTGGGCTTGCAAATATCAAGTTTGGGCCACTAAGAACCAATCAATATGAAAGAAAAAAGCGGATGAGATGACGGGGAAATGATAGTGTAACCAATCTCTTAGATGAGTTGAAATTAGGATTTAAAAAATCATCAACATCACTCATCCATTTTGGTGAATATAGTTTTTCAACCTATCAATTCCCAAGATTCAATGAGGTTGAGGAACTTGTCCCAAAGTTACACTCAAGTGTTTCTAAATCAGAACCAATCACAAAAATAATAAAATATATATTTAATATAAATTAATAAAAACAATATTTAAATGAATAATAAAAAAGAAATAATTGGTAAAATAGAAAAGTGTATTAAAACACCAAATAAAAATCCCAAAAAATAGATGTCAATCATGAGTCAACAAGTGTTAACAAAAAAATTTAAAATTTTTTAAAAGCCAGGAACTATTTTTAAAAATACAAAACTTAATTAAAATATACCAAAAATCACAACAAATAGTATAATCAGAAATAAAAATTAAACAAGGTGACCAATATTTGTCAAAATAGTATTGGATACTTCCATAAAATTTTCATAATTTTAAAAGCTCAAAAAGTATCATTAAAACAATTAAAACAAGACAAATAAAGAGAAAAATCATAAAAAATATCAAATCATAAAATAAAATTATGAAAAAATAAGAATCGGAAAGATCTTATTTAAAAAAATTTATGTAAATTTTTTCATAATTCTCAAGTCAAAAATCAATTTTTTACGAATTTTTGAAGTTTAAAACAAATAAAATAAAAATCAGAAAACAAAATAATAAACCATAAAAACATGGACCATTTGATCATTGTCAAAACGCGTTAGTAAGCAGATCAGAGGGACCCGATGCACAGTTCATGTTATGGTATTTATTGAAAAACACATAGGATCATTAATAAAATCAGATTTTATAAAATAAAACAAAATAATTGTGAGCAATCTAATCAAAGTTAGAAATACGTTAGCAAACTGATCTAAGGGAGCTGGTGCACTGTGCTTGATATGGACTCTAGCAAGAAACACATAAAGTTTATAAAAAATGAGCCAATCAAAATAAAACAAATGTCAAAGGATCATTGGTTGAAGCACAACATGTAGGTCATCTTCAACCTCCAGACACCCACGTGTGGGGTTTGTATGAGATTCTTCAAACAAAAATATTAGAAGCTCATAGTGGTATCATTGGATTCATCTCTCACAAACGATGCTAACCCTACCCACGCAGAAAATTTATGTAAAACACAGCGTAGTCGATTTGAGAAAAGCCAAAGTAGAATGGCAAATTTAATTTTATAAACAAATGCTCAATTATCAACAAAAATGAAAACCAAAAGAAGTATGAGAATCAGAAGAAGAAGAAGGACTACAAATTAGTAACTTGTTTGAATCAATTAAGTTCAGAAAAGTACCTGAATGAATCTCAAAAAGATTGCATTGAAACTGAACTTCTGTAGCTCTGAATATGGCTCGATTTGTTTGGTTTAAGTGATAGACAGTTTGTATAATTGTGGAGAATGATGAATCATAAAATAATTTGAGGTGATAAGCCTTGAAGTTATTAAACGAATTTTCAAATTTCAAAGCTTTGAGTG